TGTGATTTTCACACTGAGAATCGCGGAAGCAACTCTAGCGGCTGTCAGTGAGACAGCCACTAGAGGCTGGATTAACCTTAGTGTAAACATAGCAGTTTCTCTGATTTACAGCAGATTCTCTGTTTACAGCAGGCGGGGTTAACACTAGATGGACCTGGCACCCAGACCCCTTCATTGAGCTGAAGTGGTCTGGGTGCCTATAGTGGTCCTTTAAGTTGCCTAATATGTGTGATTAAAGGGAAACTATAGTGTTAGGAATACAAAGTTGTACTCTTAGTACTATAATACCCTATGCCACCCTTACCTCCCCCCACTGCCGATAAAAGGTTAAAAAACATTTTGTAACTTACCTGATTCCAGCGCTGATGTCCCTCTGCGCTGAGTCATGCTCCAGCACCAGTATCTAATAGCCATGCACGACAAGCACCTTGAGCGTATTAGGACTTCCCCATAGGAAAGCATTGAATCAATGCTTTTCTATGGAGTTTTAGTTGACGCTGGATAATCTTATGCAACGTGTGAGAACATCCAGCATCATTTAGCAGACCAAAAGTCAGCTAAGGATCCAGAAGAGCATCTAGTGGCTGTCTGGTAGTTACTGCAGTTTCTCAATAATTACAATTGTAGGGTTAAGGGGACAGGTGCACTACACCCAGACGACTTCAATGAGATGCCTATAGTGTCCCTTTAAAGTTCAATTAACAGAATAAGAGATAATCATTCCTAAAGTATATAAACTGGACACTGTAGTTCAATAAAATGCCAATCTAAGCCTTGGAGTACCTGAAGTTTTTTCTTCAGTGATTTCCAACTACATCTTGGGCCTTGGTGCTGGCCCCAGGTCTGGTTGCACCCAGGCTTCATATATGGATTGAGCGCAGTTTCATCTTTTGGTTTTTAGTTTAATTTAGTAGATAATTTGTCTTGTATATTTATGAATATTGGCTGTGTCTGTGGGACACAACTAATATGTTGAATAATGTTTATAGTGCTCGGATTGTTCCATGTGATTTTTAATGTATTCTTCAATGGTGTAAATTCCATAGAAGAACACACAGCTGTGTGTTTACATTAGTGGATTAGTAAGACCAACTTTATGTGACTCTAACAGTACTTCTAGACTACAAGGAAAGTAACTCGACCTTTTGATTGCAGCCATATTCCTGACAGATTAGAACATAGCTATTCCTGTCCTTCTTTATGTCAAGCCACCAGAGAGAGTATGAAAAGGTGACAAGCTGTATGTCATTCCAGGGTGACTAGATAAGAGAATACTATGATGAAGTGAAAAGTCTGTCTCTTAAAGTGTGTGTCACCTAAAATATACCTTTCTCCTATTGTTTCCTCTTCTCTTCCTCTCTCAGAATCTGTTCTTATTTTTTTAAATTTCTGACCCATTTTTCTTTAAATTATAAGACAAAGCAGGGACGACTTTGTCTTATGTTTTTTTAACAACTCTTGACAAAAGAGAGTTTAACTAAGCTCACCTTCCTTTGTCACTGAAAATCTCCCACATTGCTCACCTCTCTGTCTTGTCCTTCTTCGTTGCGTCGCAAGATCTTTGGTCATCACTTCTACCGTTAGTGGGTTTGGGCTATTTTTCCGTTCAACTGAAAGACGAATGAATGGATACAAATTACACTGAATGATATGAAAAACGAATTGCTTTTTGGACAAAATGTAATTTGTGCAATTCATTATTTAGTACATTTGTTTTAGTTACAAGGAGGGAGCTACTGGCTTGGGACAAAAATAAGACAACTAATGGCAACTAGTATTAGTGGTATTTAGTTTGCTGTCCTCCCTCCCCACACACACATTATTATTAGTGTGAAGGTGGTAGGATAGGTATTTTATCATGGGGTAACTTGGAGGGTTGGGGGTATCATATTTATTACCAGCCTCTACCCACAGCCAATGGTTGAGGGCTAGGGGGACAATAGGTCTACCACACTTTATTATTTAGGGCCTGCACAGGCTGCCAATGCGTGAAGGCTGGGGGACACTATGGTCATTATTTTAATAGCCCCCAAACTACCAGCCCACCGTCTTAGGGTACAGTGGGGATATTATGCCCCACCCCCAGTTAATTATTTTATGAAGTGCTAAACCATGGGGGCATAGACACAGGTTCCCCTTTATTGAATTAGCGACTGGACAGAAATAGTTGCACAGTCTCTTGTCTTTTTTTATAACAGCAAGCAACCCAGGGGCAGACTGACCACAGGTACATTGCTAAAAGGCCTAAAGCAGTCAGGGGCTCGGCTGCACACCTATGGTTCTGTGGTGGAGAGCAGAACTCTCCTCAATCAGAAAGAAGTTATGCAAATAAATTCCAGAAAAAAGGTTTCAGGGGGCCTATGTGACACAGAAGGCCCCTTCAACCTATCGCCCTGCAAATGAACCTAGCAGATCTCCTCTCTCTCCCTGCACAGTGCTCTGTGTGAAGATAGGAGGTGGGGACAGGAAGTGCCATCACATTATTATTTTATTATTTATATAGAGTAAGCAAATTTCATAGCGCATCCCGGGCTCTCACTGCCCAGTCTTCTCTCTCTTCCTGCACAGTGCTCTGTGTGAGGATGGGACAGGAAGTGACATCACACCCCCTGCTCTCACTGCCCAGTCCTCTCTCTCTCCCTGCACAGTGCTATGTGTGAGGTGGGAGGAGGGGACAGGAAGTGACATCACATCCCCTGCTCTCCCCTCCCACACGGAGCACTCTTACAGATGGATGGATAGTGAGAATGGGAGCCTAGGTACACTGATTGAGGAAGATGGAGGGAGGAAGAACATCAGACTGGAGCAGGCAAGCAGGCTAGGAGTTAGTGTGGGATGAAGTGGGTAAAACAGGGCAGAGGCACGCAGGGGGTTTGGTAGATGTGGGGTAGATGGGGTGAGTTAAACAATTATATGTGATGGAATACATGTGTGTGGTGAAGGGACAGCAATGGGTCAGATGGGTGACAAGTTGTGTTAAAGATAAAACGAGAGTCTCCAGGCACTCAAAATGTTCAAGCCGCAGGCAGATTTATTGGTTTAACAAAAGTGAAAGAGCAGCAATGTTTCAACCTGCAAAGAGGTCTTTGTCGAGCTGTTAAAGGACCACTATAGTGCCAGGAAAACATACTAGTTTTCCTGGCTCTATAGGGTCCTTAGGTCCCCCTCACTCTCAGAGCCCCCCTCCCGCCCGGCTCTAGGAGGAGGAAGTGAAAATCACAGTGAGAAGCGCCTCTAGCGGCTGTCAATGAGACAGCCACTAGAGGCTGGATTAACCCATTTGTAAACATAGCAGTTTCTCTGCTAGGAGAAACTCAGAAGGAGGCTGGAGAGTCAAAAAAATTAACACACAGAGGTTTCAAAGACACCTCTCATTCACACACACTCTGACAGATTTGATACACACCCATCATGATACATCTCTTATTCACACACGCTTACAATATGCACACATACAAATACATTCCTACATTCACATATACACTTCTCAAACATACTGCATTCACACACAGACAATCCATACAAATCTCTCCCTGAGTTATTCATTAACCCCTTAAGGACCAAACTTCTGGAATAAAAGGGAATCATGACATGTCACACATGTCATGTGTCCTTAAGGGGTTAAAGTAAGAACTGCCAGAAATTCAGAGTGAATTTCAAATGGAATGCCTAAATAACCAAAATGAACAACAACATTGACTTGGAATTTTTTCTTCTAATGCAGCTATTTAGGCCTGTATTTTAAAATTCACTTTTCCCAGCAATTCTCACTTTAGAGAATAAAGAAAACAGTGATTTTTTTAAAGTTATATTTAACATTTACTATCTTTGAAATTTTGCCTAGGGGCCCAGAAGGCTGTCAGTCTTTCCCTGAACATGCTCCTACTCTCGGCAAGGCTGATAAGGACAGGAGGAACGATTTAACCTACCTTATTTTATGAAAGCAAGTATTTTTTACTTCGTATCAGTAACATTGTCTGAAAGCACAAAATAATGAAAAAGAATGGCTTTTTTCAAATTGTGGTCTTTCAGCTTCTTAGTAGATAGCTCCCTAATCCTTCTGGGATTGCCTTAAGGATACCAGAATGGAGTTATCTACTAAATAGCTCTTTAATTTGGTACCATTAAATATAGCAGTCCCACAAGGGTAGCAATATAGGGAGTTATCAACTAAATGGCTGCAAGTAGTGGCAGCACGAATCAGAATTTTATTTGTCCAAATTACATTTCAAATTTGGTCCATTAAGGGGTCCATGCATTTAGGCCCACCTGATGGGCATTGCTCAGCAGAGGCCCTGTTGGCCTCTGTGGGTTTTCAACATTGCGACCGGGCCCTTGTTTAATGGCAGCCGACTAGAAGGAAGTGACAGCCATGAGCAACTTCCTCCCAGAGAGAGTAAAGCCTCGTGGGAGGGAGGAGGAGGCCATCAGGAGGGGGCACTGATGTGGAGTGCCAACACCTCTGAGACCCTAACTCCCAACTACTCCAGCCACTGAACCCCAGTGAAGCCACCCTCCTGTACTCAAAAGGTAGGAAACTGGAGAGGGCTTTAAAAGTGTAGCCCATGGAGCAGCGTAGCTAAGGGGAGTGGGCCTTGACATTGCCAGGAGACAGGCCATCTAATGGTCAGTGGTCAGGGATTGGTCATTGGAAATGGTGGGGTGGAGTTTTAAAGGGGAGTATAAGTAGTGACCATTTTAGAACCAAGGATCACTTTAATCTAAGTTACACTTACCTGTTTGTTGTGGCAGGATTTGTGTGGCTTTTATTTTGTCTCCTCTGCAGGTCAGCAAGATGGAAGATTGGCTGGAAGGAGTCCGGGCTGCTGTGCAGGAGAGGGGGATCGAGTGGCTCAGGGATCGCCTGGGAGATGCTCTGCCATCCGGATCTGGAGGTTCCCAGGGTCAGAGGCGGGTCAGGAAGACGAGGCCTCCGCAGCAGTTGAGCCCCAGCGTGGTTCCCGGGCCCCGGCGTCAGAAGAGCCCTTCCGGAGGTCCCAATGGCGGTGAGGAGAGTGCCGGCGGGGAGGCCGCAAGTGGAGGAGGTCGTGGACGGCGTCGCGGCACAACTGTGCGAACGAGCTGTCAAGCGAGGCTGGAGGTGCAGGCTGCTGGTTCGGGAACCGAATCTGATACTGCCGAACATTCGGGAGGCGAACGTGGAGGTATGCGAACGGGCTGAAACTGCCAAACGTTCGGGAGATGAACGTGGAGGTAGGCGAACTGGCGAATGGGAGACAACTGCCGAACGTGGAGGTACTGTCACTGCCGACCGTTCGTTTCCCGAACGGGGAGGTGAAAAAACTGCCGAACGTTCGAGAGTTGAACGGGGAGGTAGCCATACTGCCGGCCGTTCGGCTGCCGAACGGGGAGGCAGGAAAACTGCCGAACGTTCGTTTTTTGTGTCTTCTTTTGCAGGGAATGAAGGAGAAGTGGCTGCAAGTGATAGGAGTCCTGGAAAGAGGCCTGGACAAGCACGGGCCAGCGGAAGAAGGACGAGCGGTACAGCATGCTTGGCAGCAGGTCACGGGAATGCTGGAAGCGCTGTTGGAGGAACAGGGACAGCGGCTATGAACCGTCCAGGTGAGTCGACCTCTGACGCCAATGCCCCTCCAGTGCCTGGGCCACGGGTTACCCCGGGGGTGGGCCCGGGTGTTGGCTTGGTTGGTGACGGCAGGGGGCAGGAGGCAGACAGGGGCCGGCCAAGACACGGACCGGTCCAGAAGGGTATAGCGCAGCAAGATGCCACAGAGGGTCACCAGGCAGCGGGCGAGAGCGCAGCACTTCCCCAGGATCTCCTATACGACCGGGTAGGCGAGGCAGGTAGTTTGGGAAGGATCGTAAGGGAGTGACAGCGAGGGACAGCGCAGAAGGTTGGCACCAGCCAAGAGGACAGCGCGCAGGGCTAAAGTGCAGGGCGCGCAAGGTTCTAGGAAGAACCGGTCACGAAGCAGCCATCGGAGGGTAGCTGACGTAGTTGACAGGGACCCCTGCGGGGTGGACCATGCCCGGGGGAGGCATAGGGCGCCCCCTGTCGGTTCAAGGGGATGGACGCAGCAGGACAGCAGTTCCACGAGCAGGAGTTCCCCGGAGAGGAGGCGGGCTGCTGTGCAGGCTCATGACCCTTGGGGGCGGACGGCTAGTGGGGAGATGGGGGACAGTTCCCAGGACGAGAGGGGACGGGGTAGGGTTTCTACGGCCAGCCTACCCAGGATGTCTTCTCCTTACAGGTCTCGAGGGCGGTCACCCTCTGGGAGAGAGAGACCCCACGCG